ATAGATAGATAGATAGATAGATAGATAGATAGATAGATAGATAGATAGATAGATGGAATGGAAAATCTTAAGTTCTAATGTTTCTCAACTTTGGCAACTTTAAGGTGCATGGGCTTCAATTCCCAGAATTCCCCAGGCCACATGAAGTTCACCCATCTTAAACTTGCAAAGACTGAAAAATGCTGATCAATAGATAGGGATTTTTCCATTCTTCTTTTATTGGTTCCTACTTACTTATGAGCAATCATAATGTAAAATCCCCATACCGAACACACCCTGGCGTTTTGGGCCTGGAAGGCCTTCTGTATCACCTTGGAAATCAAAATGGGGCACACGGGGGGACTCCTGGGAGGGAAGGGGTACGGTAGGCAAGGCCAGCCAGATGTGGAATTAGCTGGTTCTCCAAACTGGGCAAAAAGTTAACCGGTTCATCCAAACTAGTGCAAACCATCTGAATCCCACCTCTCGGCCAGTCCCTCTCTCTCTCAGCTGAACCCACCTCTCAGGGTTATTGATGTACGGAAAATATGTATATTAATTGCTTTCAATTATTTATTAATAAAGACAGGATAAAAATATGTACATTTAAAAATATATTAAACTGGATTTGTACAATCAGTTATTTTTCCTCCAGGCTCTCTATTGGGAGAAAAAACATTTGACCACTGGCTCAAAATTGACCACAGGTCTATCTTCTGTTTCTTATCCAAACAATTCGCTCCCTCACCATTTGTTAGTTAGCTACAGATTATGGCTCTAAACGGTGTTAAATATTAATAGCATTATTATAGTATTAATACGCTTTTGTAATCTTTTATCAAAACTAACTGCAGGTCATTCTCTTGACTCTTTATAGTAGATTGGGGGTGTACGCAACAGTTATACCTGGAATCATTTATCTTAACCTGCTTCTCTACAGATTTTTAACAGTATAGGTTTATGATTTGGCCTATACACACAGAAAATTTACAGGTAATTAGTAATTCATCCCAACATTACTGGTATAGTTCAGCTTGAGGATGACTTACTTCTACTGAATATTAATTCTGCTTGAAAGATAAGAGATTTCTTAATGGCCAACACTATGCTCATTGCTCCTAATTCTGGTCACCATTATTTAGCAGTCTTGACATCTACTTTTTCCTCTCATTTAAATTTTAAATTTTATTTTCATAGGTAAAATTTATATTGGTCTTCCAGTTTCACAGGCAAAAATGCATGGCTATATTCTTCCTTCAAGATGATGAAATATGGATCTTTTCATTTTTAATTTTGTCACTCAGCTAGATTTTCATTCATATAAAGAAAACTTTTAATTCCATTGATTGATTGATTGGTTGGTTGGTTGGTTGATTATCTTGTCATTTTTTATTTTTAGATATCATAAATTTACCACATAAATATATTATTGCAACATACAAGATTAGTATAGTTCTTAAAAGATTTGCCATATTAATTTTGAAAGCATAATTATAAAATTTAACCATCTTATCAAATATTTGTCTTTTACAAATATTTTATTACTTCTGCTCTTATTATTCCAATTATGGCACTGATTGCTCACAGTTTCTTGTAAGAAGATCATTCTCTCTAAATGCACACACACACAAATTCTGATAGAATTGTAGCCTTTTCCTTGGAAATATTGGATTTCATAGACATATCATGATAGATTTGGGGCCTTTTGAAAGATCTGTAAAACATTGTCAAGGAACTGTACTTTGACATGGGAGGCTCTATTCCATTTAGAAAAAAGACAGTTTGATTCATACCAGTAAATGAATGCAAGTTATGATCAACATCAATACAGCATCAACCACATCCACCTTTGACCACAATCTTTTCTTTATTTGTGATCAGGGAGGTTGTCTTAACCTTTTCATATGATCAGTTTCCTTTCAAAAATTTTATTCTATTTCCAGATTTCACTCTAGCAAAAAATAACAGGTACTCATAAATGTCAGTATTGATTCTAATGATTTATTGACTGCACCTCTTTTGGATGTGATCTGAAATATAATTTTGCAGTATGTGCCATTATTACCCATCATATATTTGGAGTATGCTCATGAGTTTAAGTAGTGATTTTGACAATTTTTTCTTTTCTAATTTTCTTGCTTTTCTCATTGAGATGGGTTTTATGTTCTAAAACTATGTGTAAGGACCAGTCTCTCCCCCCTGCAAAAAAAAAAGTATACTCTTGAAAACTTTGTATTTCAAAAGGAATCTTTTATTGAAGAGGGGTAAAAGCAAGTCAAAATTCAAAGCAGAATCTGAGGTCCCTCAGGGCACGAAACTAGGATAAAGGAAATTAGAAACTCCTCCCAACAGTCCAATGCAGAGGTGGTATTCAATAGGTTCTGACCAGTTCTGGAGAACCGGTAGTGGAAATTTTGAGTAGTTCAGAAAACTTGCAAATACCGCCTCTGACTGGAGATTTTACAGTATGCTTCCCCTGCCATGCCCACCAAGCCACGCCCACAGAACAGGAAGTAAAAAAAATTGAATTCCACCACTGGTCCAATGTGGAGTCCACCAATCCGCAGGTGTGAAGGTGTTACTATACCAGCATCTCTGAGAAAACAGAGAAGAAAAGTTTCTCAGAGCTATCTTCCAGTGCTGCAATCCACATGGCCCCTTCTTCCTTAGCATTTCCCCAAGAGATGAGAATTTTCAAGGCATTTGTGGTGCCAGGCAATGATTATAAATCATGTAAAAGGTTGTACAAATGACAAGGTAAGAAATAGGACACTTAGGCTACATAGAAAAGAAAAGAACTAAATGTATCAAATCTACTCCTCCCCCTTTCTTCCATCGGAGAATGGCAGATACATGGATCTGACACGTTGGTATTAAAATGTATTTCTTTGTCTCAATACTTCCTGGTTTTTTACTCATAATTTCATCATTCCCAATGTCCCATTATAGATATAACTCTATAAGTAATTGTATTACCCAAGCACAAGCTGGTATGTCTTTTGGAAGAGAGGTTTTTTTCCCCTGAAAGATAAGCTTTGTATTATATGTATGAAAAAAAATGGATTGTTTGCCTGGAATTCTGGGACTTCATGACCCCATTGGTTATTTGTGAATACAGTGACTCAACTTTTCAATGACTCACCAGCTTGTCTCATAACGTGCTTATTCTGGCAGGTATAGTTTCAGACTGTTGCGTTGAGGGTAGTGAAATGAGGGAAAGCCACATCAGAAAAATGAGCAGTAGAGGCACATTAGATACACACACACGTGCGCACATGCACCTACCCATGTCCTCACTTATAAAACATTGCTAGATACATTTTTTCCTGTTGATCATGCACAAGCAAGTTGATCATATTTATGATCATTTGGAGAACCATAGTTATAAGAAAGCAACTATTTTTCTTAAAAAGGAACCAGAAAGAAGTACATTATACAGTTAAAAACATATTGCGAATAACAACTCAGAGGAATTGAGTTAAATTTATTTCTTTCATTTATGGTAGGACCATTTCTGTTAATTTTATTACAGGTTGATCGCCAGTCACAGTTTATTCAGGGTTATAGAGTTATGTATCGACAGACATCAGGCCTGACTTCCCCTTCTGCATGGCAGACTATGGAAGTTAACGTCCCCACAGAACGGAGTACTATCCTTATCAATTTGAAAAAGGGGGTTACATATGATATCAAAGTTCGTCCATATTTCAATGAATTTCAAGGGATGGACAGTGAATCAAAATCTGCACGTACCACTGAGGAAGGTAAGAAAATTATGAAAATAATAATTATATGTTTGCAATTATTGAGTGTCCTATGCTACAGCAAATATGCATAAAGTTTTGCACAAGCAAAAACAATATTTTCTTCACAGTGTGTATCTACAATAGACAAAGCAGTCAACTTTGTTAGTAATTTAAAAGAGACCCGTATTTGGTTTTACACTTCAGCAATGTCTCAGTACCTATTTGCCAATCCTTTTTTTTATGATAGCCTAGGAGGCTTGAGTTGAGAGAACACATATTTTTCTGAGCGTCACAACTGCCATTTGATCCCAGGTAAATAAAACAAATGAGCAGATTACCTAGAATAGTCAAGGGGGTAGACTGACCCAGATTGGATCTTGCAACATTATCCTGGGACATGTATAATTTCCTCCATTCGGGGTAGATAACGTTCTTTATGAAGAAAAACTTCAGTTAGTCATATTAAAAATTGATTAACATATATGATTAAACAATCATTATGAAAATGTGGATAAATATTAAAGTTTATAATTGGAATAAAATTAATTAACAATAGAATCAGGACTGATATTAAATTATTTCTTAGATATTTGTATCTTACCAGTTTCAGGGGTACAAATATGACAACAATCACTATAATGCTTAAGATTGTTTTAAAATGAAGTATAGATCTATACCAAAATAAGTGTATCTGGGAAGAAGTTTATTCCTAGTTAATTTTGGACAGTGATAAATATTCTTTAATTCCTGCAGACAATACCTCAAAATGATAAACATAGAAATACTATATAAAGGTTTGGGCATATATGGTTATTTTTATCTTCCTCATCTGTTCTTTGGCAACTAAACAATTGGGTGAGGGCTAAGGGGATATTCTGTTTAATTCACAGAAAAGATACTTTTTTTTTTACTAATGATATTGTGTGAAGAAATAGCAGAGGGTAGAATAAGTACTGTTCCATGGTTATTTACAGAATAATTGTTTAGTTTGTCACAAAAACTATCAGTATCTTTCTTTTCTTTTGTTTTATAAATATTGGTTGTCTACTTTTAGTTTTTTCTTGCTTTCCTGCTTTGTCCAACTGTCAACTGACTCTTTTTAATTTTTTCTAAGTTGTTTTATCTTGGTTGCCTATTTTATAAGAAAGTGATCTGTACTTAACCCTTTGCTTACATCTTATGTAACAGATTTCTTTATCATCACAAAATTTGTAACTACTGTATCAGTTGTAATATCTGGATGAAATAGTTTGAATGCCAATTCTTAAAAGAAAAGGAGATGTCTTTGTAATCCTGATGACAACTTTATGTCAAGAGTACAAATAGATCTAATCTGGATGCCTTCAGATTAGGATTTATTTGCACACCTACAGGCTCTCTGTGTGTTCAGATATACCTAATCCTACACAAGAAGCAGAGAAAAATATAACTTAATAATGATCAAAAAAATTGAAGACTATAATGTTTTTTAAATGTATTTATTTTCTTCTGTTTTCTGTATTAGCTCTTATTAAAAATAAAAACAAAAAGAATTTTTTTGTTATTCTAAATCTGTATGTTATTTGAAGAGTTGCTCCATTTTTATTGTAACTGCTATTTTCCAGATGAGTAAAGCAGTAATTGTGCGTCATTGTAGAGCAAAGCTTTTTAGGAATCTTTATGTATAGATATGTTACACTCGTAGTCTGTAGCTGTTGTGATATTAATGTAACCTTCAGCCATTCTGCTTCTGGGTGTCTCCTTCATTACCACAAAAGTCTATAACAAATTGTACTGTCAACAGTTAAATGTCAGGTGTTGTTGTTTTTTAAAAAATAAAAGCTTGCAGTATATCTATATGCATAGTAGCCTATTTACAGACTTACATTTTTTTTTTAAAAAGGAACCTTTGTTAAATTAAAAAAAAATCTTTTAATTATCTTTGTAATTATCTTCAATTTATATTTTCAGGCAAAACTTCAAGATTTGTAAGGTTCATTTTTCAGACAAAAAGAGCAGTCTTTTTATAAACATCTCATTTTATAATATCACCCATGTGTTTTTTGGAAGTACTTTTAATATAAAATGTTGAATAACAATTTTGAAGATATTTTACAAAATTGTTAGTTTTAGTACATTTCTGTCAGCAAAACAAATATCTCAAAATACTCCCCCAATTCCAAGTAAACCCAATTTTAGAATAAATGCTTCCTGTGAAGCCTATCCTGCCTAATGATTTTAAAACAATTGGCCTCTGGCTCTGTGAAAATAATAAATGGAATTCTGTTTTGTTCCACCTGAAAAATATGAGTAGTGATTTGACCATTTTCATATCTGGGGAAAGGAGCTGAGCAATGGAATAATTGACCTGTCAAGAAGTAGGCATGGTAATACCTACAAACTAGTAGCAAGGGAAATGAGAAGGAAGTTTTCAAATGACGGTTTTCATTGAAATCCATTTAATAACAGCAACACTTGCCTAGGAAGTATTTTAATTTATACTGAGATAACTGTTACTATACTACTATGATGGTACAGATCAAGGTTGAACTGTTAGGTATTACTTATGGGTGAATACAAAGAAGTATGCAAATCACATTAATTAATATGATTTGTATTTCTGTGTCTGCATCTTAACTACTTTGTTTGAATAGCAGGTAGATTAATCTTTTGTCCCAAAGTTATTCAGTATTCCTTGACCATAAGGCATGCAATCTGGGGTTCTTTTATTTTTATTTCACTATTGGAGTTTTATCTAAACATCTGATTTGTACTTCTGCAAATCTTCATGTTCTACCAAGCCAACGTAGCTGGTTTCCTTTCAGAGCCATACTTCATTCTGAATTTGGAATAACAAGTCTTTGAATAGTTCTGTGCAAGTCCATAGCTTTAAGTTAGTTATTTTAACACCAATTGTGTACATATCACCATGTCTCTTTTTTCTATTTGTCCCATTCTTTTATAGCCCCTAGTGCTCCTCCACAATCTGTTACAGTTCTGACTGTTGGAAACCACAATAGCACCAGTATCAGTATTTCTTGGGATCCACCTCCTCCAGATCACCAAAATGGAATCATTCAAGAATATAAGGTGAGAGTAAAATGCAGGATAAAAAGAATACCTAATATTGTCCATTATTTCTTCAAATAATAATAATATGTGAGTTCCAATATCAGTAATACTAATATTCCTGTATTTCAGATATGCTTTTCCAGGCAGTATTCTATCTCTTCCTTCCTCCTTCTTCTCCTCCTCCTCCTTCTTCCTTTTTTGCACCAAAGCAAAACAAAAAACAAAAACATTTATTCCTTCTTCTTAGTACTGGAATTTTTACCTACACAGTTAAATAAGAAATTAAGACTATAAGTGGAAAAAAACACCTTTTGGGGAATCTCTTATTTTATGACATCCTATTGTACAACTGTGCTATTTGTAGTATAGGTTGGGAAATAAAATATAAAGTTCCAGTGATCATAATGGGTTCTAAAATATCTGGTCATTCTTATTAACAATAAAAAGCAATAATTCTTGGGTTAAACCGGGGATTTGTACCTTTTGATAAATTTAGGGAACCTAAGGGTGTCTTTTGCTAGTTATCCCTCAGTGTACTTTCTGCCTATATGTCAGCTTCAGGAAATAGACCAATTAAGTCCACTTACTGTCTTCTGGCATACCCAACAGTACATGTTCAAATATATTAAATACATTTAGTGGCAGCACAAGTTAGCTTTATTTAATAAAGGAAAATAATCCCCCCTCATATTTGTGTGTGTGTGTATATATATTGGGAGGGGGGGCCTTTGAGTCAGCCTTGACTCCTGGCAACTGCAGGTTTTGGGGAAGGTTTTTTAAAGAATGGTTTGCCATTGCATCCTTTCTAGAGGTGAGGGAAAGTGACTGGCCAAGGTTTCCCAGCAGAAAAATATAAATGGGTATCATCAGTGTGATTTGAACAGAATTACAACATTATTTTTTCATTGTTTTTATGAAAATCTGAGTTTTGCCTCTATCAACCCCCCCCCCCAATTTTGAGAATAATCACTTTATAATTTATATTATATTGTTACTTTAGGGTATGTATAGAACATATCTATCTTCCAAAGGAGCCAGGTAGAGTATGGTGAAGCCCTTGAGTGGCAGGAGTTATATGAAATGACACCCTATCTACTTCATTAGAGTTTACAATGTAAATGAAGCATAGTTATATTACAAGATTTGCCAGAAACCATATAAAAGTAGATATAGGATAGGAATGTTTTATATAATTGTTTTAATTAATTATATAAAATAACCTGCAAGTTGATGCCTATTATTTATATTACATGAAATAATTTTGTTTTGAATGTATCTATTTATGATGAGATTGATGTTTACCATGTCATTTTTCTCCAGAAATGCATTAATTGTTACATCTTATCAATCTATTCACTGGTTTAATTAACATGAGTGTTGGTGGTTTACAATGTGTAACAGGATATATAGTTTGCCATGTTCAGATTAGAACTAAATTGCATGTAATTTGAGGCCCAGATAAGATTATGTTGCTTGAGATTCTGGACAGAACAAATTATATGGGGACTGTCATTGCTATATTTAATTATATGTGATTTACATCAATCTATTCTGGAAAATGATCAATGCCCAGGTCTTTTCACAGTAGTAGCATTTTTTTTAATTTATAGCTTATAGAAACTGATGCTTTCAATGAAATGCTAACAGTATAGGATTCCTTTTTTTTCTATGTGTATTGTTATTTGTGCATGTATTAATAGTGTTCTTATTTTGAAATGTTTTGACTTGGACTTAGACCATAAATAGAGAGGTGTACAGGGTAAAATATAAAATAATAATTTAATAATGTAAGACAAACATAGATAATTTTTATGAAACTAAAATATATATTGATCACTCCTGATTCAACATAGGAAAGCGACTGTTATTTCATACTGAGGTCTAAATTGCCATGTGGTTTTTCAGCACTCTTTTTACCGTGAAACTATTCTTCATCTGTACAGATGCTTAAACAAACACATTTTTATTTCCTCTGAGAAAAGAATAGACTGCTACAATATTATATTTGTCTTTCATATTTGACAATATCACAGATCTGTTAGAGCTCAGGAAGTTCCTAATGCTGCTTTATGAACATGATTTTTTCCAGTTACAAACTTCAGTATAACTTAGTAAAAATATTTTTTTTTCTTTAGAATCCTACTGTCTTGGAAATCAAACTGATTGTGACTAGTTCACTGAAAAATCAAACAGAAATTAGTTATTCCCCTAAATACATGTAAGGTGTGCAATCAAAATTGTTTTCAGTTCAAGACATTGTTTGTTAATTATGAACAACATTGACAGACTATGAGTCTCCTTTGTTCAGAGAGTACAGATTGAAGACTAGAAATCTCAGGCAACAAAATTAACTTTACATGGTGTTTTAAGATACAAGGTCCTGGGCCAACTATCATATGCAGAGTACAACATAATGCAGCCACAAAACTAGGTACCTTCGTATCCAAACCAGAATATGAATGATTTCCTTACAGTACTGTTGTTGTTGTTGTTGTTGTTGTTACTATTAGTGGAAATTTTAGATTTGAGGAGTAAATCTGAATTCTCTGGTAGATTATCTCTAATATTTCATAATTTAAAATAATTGAAAAGGGGCTATTTTGCATTTTTAATGCAATGCAATGATTAAATTGCTTTTTAAAAAGCACTTTATATCTACAGGACACGGACACACAGACAAATATATATTAAAAAGGAAAACAAAAACTAACACCTTTTAATTTAAACTAATAATCTATGTACTATAGATTAAGGATGAAAACCCTTAGTAATAAAATGTAAGAGTCCATAGCATGTAACATTTTATCACCCTATAACTATTATTTTAGAATACATTGGGTGAAGATAATGTATCCTTTTAAAGTGAAATTAATTATTCCTGTAAAGATATAGCTTATAGGGTATGGGTTTTATTTTGTTCTGTTTTGATATCAAATCATCTCTTCAATAACTTTCCAAAATAAATCATTCCCTTTTGCAATATACATTATGCTTTAATGAGAGAGAAAACAGGCTACATCCAGATAGAAATTATTCCTGTTTTCTTAAGCAGAAGTTAAATGTTACTTTGTCATATTTTGTCAAATACCTCTGTATTCCAGATATGGTGCTTGGGTAATGAAACAAAATTTCATATCAACAAGACTGTTGATGCAGCTATCCGGTCTGTAATTATCGGAGGCCTATATCCAGGGATTCAGTACAGAGTGGAAGTTGCAGCAAGTACCAGTGCTGGCACTGGAGTTAAAAGTGAACCACAACCTATAATAATTGGTAAGTGAATACCTGTGTCCTGCCACTCTGTTTCATGTAATTACATTTTGCTATGTCTTCCATGAATCCTGATGTCTTCCATGAATCCTGTTTGCTATGTCTTCCATGAATGTAAGATACAGCAATGGTTGGATATTTTCTATTTAGAATTTTTTTCTAAAACTAAAACAGAGAAGTGCCTGTATTACTAAAATATATTACAAACATCAATTGTGTGAAAATAACATTGCATTATGAATTTTTCACTTCACCAGTTTGATAGATTTATAGAATAGCTAACAAAATCTTTCTCTTCTGTCTGTTTTGATTACTACATTATTTTCTTATGCTGCTGGTGCTCAAGGCCATGTTTAAAGAATGTTATCTGAGCATTTGAGGTTTACTGTTTATCAATTATTCTGAGCAGATGGTCTCTTCTGTTTTCTGCCAAAATACAAGGAGGTTTGAATCCAGATAAAGGGAAAAACTGGTAAATACAATGTCTTTCTTTTAAAGTATTGTTTTTGTTAATCATACCGAATTAATTCCATGATCTGAGGCAAGCCTAAAAGCTTGCCTTAGAAAGTTTCCAATTATATACAATAGTGCTTAAAAGTTTGTGAGCCAATTTTAATTTTTGGTATTTCTACATTACCCAAAATGTGATTGTTATCCACACATATCCTAAAAGTAGATTTTAAAAACCCAGTTAAACATATGAGTCAAAAACTTTACACCTGTTCATTTTTAATTGAGAAGAATAATCCAAAGCAACTTCTTTTGTGTGGCAAAAATATATGAACCTTTGTTTCAGTAACTGGTCTGCACCCACACCCACCCCATCAACTTAGGCAGCAATATGTTCAAGTAATATTTTGATAGCTGTTGGTCTATCTTGCACATCAATTTAGAGGGATTTTAAGAACAGCTTCAACTCAGAGGTGCTTCTGGGCTTCCTTTCATAAACTATCCACTTCAATGTTTCAATAGCATTTCTTTAGGTTCGTAGTCAATACTCTGATGTGACCATTCCAAAGTATTAGTTTCTTATGCTTTAACCCTTCTTTGTATGATTTGGATGATTGCAGTTCTCATGCTGTATGACCCACTTTCTCTTGAAGTTCACTTCACTAGTATTTCCCTGTAGAATTCAGAATTCATAGTTCCATCTATGATGGTAAGCTATTCTGGCCCAAAGGCCAAAATGCATAGGCTCAAACCATGATGCTGTCACTGCCATGTTTCAAAGATTGGATTTGCTTCTTGTGCTGGAATGCAGTGATTACTGTTTTCATTTAAGTCAGAAAGTTCTATTTTGGTCTCATTCTCTTCCAGAACATTCTTCCAATTGTTTTCTAGCTTATCCACCAGTCTTTTGCAAACTGGATGGGAAACAATATCCTTTTTGAGGAGTAGTGGCTTTCTCTTGGAGCCCTACCATATCAACCCATCATTATCCAGTACTCTCCTGGTAATAATCTCACTTAATCCTAACATTATTAATGCAAAAGAGACCAGTTGTTTCTTAGATGTTACCCTGGGAATTTTTTGAAAAAAATTGGCTGGTTGACCATACTTGAGGAAGGGGGAAATGTTGCTGAATTATCTCCATTTATACAATTTGCCTGACAGTGAGTTAGTGGAGTTCAAACAATTTGGAAATACCTTTTTAACCCTTTCCAACTTGATTAGCATCAATAATTGTTTTTTGTAGATCCTCAGAAATCTTTGTTCAAGGATGACATATTTTCATATACCTGACTTGTGTAGATCAGATTTTGATAGGAATACTCAGAATTTTATTCTTTAAATAAGACAGTTGATTATCATCCCATTTATTGAAACACTTTAATTTTCTCTTCAAGTGAACTGATAATCCTAGAGGTTTGGTCATATATTTTTGGCACGCAGAAATATGCAGCTTTATATAATTTTCTTCAATAAATAAAAGAACCAATATAATGTTTTGTTCATTTGTTTAATTGGATTCTCTTTATCCAGGATTTATGTGAAGAACAAGTCACATTTCAGGTCAATATGAAGAAATATGCAGAAATATTGAAAATTCAAAAGATTTCCTAAATTTTTAAGCACCATTTATCAAAAAATGAAACAAAATAAGTAACAAGAGAAAATACACAAAATAATTTCAGTTGCATGCTAGATTATGTAGACCACAATCCACAAGACTTGTATAAGAGCCAGTGTGAATATTAATCTGAGTAGGGATGCTGAGTGCTTGGACAGAAGCACCCTGAAGAACCAGTTACCAAGCTGGTGAGATGTTTGTGGCATTGGGTAATAGTTGGTGGTGTTGTCTTGGAGGAAAAGAACACCGAATAGAAGCTTACTTCTTAAAGAAAACAATTTTAGTGTGTTATATGAGTTCTATGTTCTAGTCCCTGTGTTTGACCCCAATGACTTATAATTGGGTCATCGGTGATCCTGGATTTCGGTTGTTGTTATTGGATGCCAAATTAGTCTATTTTAAAGCATTCCTCAACTGTGATCCAATATTGAATGAGAAGGTTAACCTGGCATGAATTTCTAATATCTGGCCATACATGTGACACAATTCACAATCCCAAGGCAAAATGGTAGAGTTGCTATAATCATATAAAAGAGCTATTGTCTTTCAGAGGTGCAGCTGCACTAATAACTGGTTATGAGAATCTTCTGGAGAGCATAAGCTCTAGGGATCCTAAGTCTCCCTTTATTCAATTATAGTGGACTATTTTAATTGGATATCCAATTTTCCCTTTTTGGTGGAAGGTTGTAGAGAATATGGCCAATTGCAGATCCAGGGAGTACTGGTCAAAATTATCTATACTCTTTTCAGGATTCAGACAATAATATAATACTGAAGAAAGCACCAACTGCATTTCTTGATGGCCTCTGGAGAGACTGCAAGGGTGAGGATTCTTCAATCCTGGCCTCCCTTCATCTCTCAGTAGTCTTTGATATCATCCAATACAGTATCCTTCTGGACTGGCTTCATGGGCTAGAGGTGGGAGACACAGTGTTGTAGTAGTTCTTTTTCCTTTATACTGGTTAGTTTATTTTTATTGAAAAAAGTTCTAGCTCTGGAACTGTAGTATCTCTAGACCTATTTAACATCTACCTGAAACCACTTGGTGAACTCATCCATCAGCATGTGTTCCAGTATCTGTAGTATGCTAATAAAACTTATTTATACATCTCACTAGGCTTTCCACATAATGCGTAAGGTATTGCATTGCAGATATTCTGTTGCCCATCTAACCTCTCACCAATATCCCCATAAAAAGAATTATGCAATTAAAACATGTAGGTAAATCATAATCAGAAATACAACCCTTCCACAGGCTTTTCCGTACACAGAATTCCAAGTTTGGTGATGCAACCATGTGTTTAAAGATTTAAAGAAAGCCAGTAAATTCAAGCTGATCTTATATCTGGATGGAAGAAGTTCCAAAGAAGTGTAGGCACTATGACAGAAAAGGCTATCTTCCTGGGCCCTGCCTACTGACATTCCCTATTAGATGGGATCCAAAGCATGTCTCTCCTTCTGATGGGATATTTAGATATGCAATAGGAGAGACGTGATCCTTTCAATAATACTGACTGTACATTGTAGTTATAAGGATAGAGAATGTTCTTGGTTTTGGCTTAACTCCCAGAACACCAAATTATGTGTTTAGGTTCCCCATTTCTGGATTTGCATTCTTCCTGGCAGAACTGACGACCAATTGGGTCTTTTTTTTTATTCTTTACCTATAAAAGCAAGTGGCAGCAAAAGCCAAGAGAGACTTTATACAAATCCTTCTAGATAAAGTATAGTTGGACCATATAATTCTTGAAACAATTATTTATTCCTAGTAACTAATAATAAAACCCAAATCCAAAAGATGACTACATTGGGAGCTAAAACTATACTGTGAGCTAGAGATTCATTCAAATAACATAGTGCTCAGTTCCTTTCTAAACATGAGAGTTGGGACCAACTCTATTTATGGAAACAGTATATTTCAAAATTGGGGCGGGGGGATAATTGCAAGGTGATAAAGGCATGAGTTACTGTTTCAAGAGCTATTTAGTCCAGGTACAGCCATAAAGTACACAGTGGGACAAAAGCTTCTAATGACAAACTCTACCTGCTATTTACCTAGCAGGATCTTCAGATAACAGATGAATTATTTTGGGGAGAGCACAATCCCATCAAGAACAATACTCTCAAGATAGATCTATCTTATTATCAAACAACTATTTCTTCTTGGTAGGATTCAATCTAAATTTAGTTGTCTCCATCCAGTTCCTTATTGCCTTCAGCCACCATTCAAAACTTTAGCATGTGAAGCTCAGCCTGAACTCATGATATATGGTACTGTTCTGCTGAATATGAAAAAAGAAAGCTAGACAAAAGTACATTTTAAAAATGAATACATCAAAGAGAAATAGAAAAGTCATATGCAGTTCTGATTCTTCCATATCTCTTTGAATCCTCACCATGTCACTGGTGAGTTTGAATAAAGAGGAATGACAGTTTGGCAAAGATTGCAAACATTTTAGCATTTCTCACTAAAAGTACAGGGTATGGCAGGGTAATTTACAAGCTATTTTAGATGTTTTCAACCCAGAATTTAAATAGTTTAGGAAACAGAAAGGCTAGTAAATGTGAAAATCTTTTTTCTAGAAGAAATGTGATAGGAAATATGGGAGAGTTACCAATAGGATAGGGTAGGGTAGGATAGGATAGGATAGGATAGGATATGATAGGATAGGATAGGATAGGATAGGATAGAAAGAATAGAATAGAATAGAATAGAATAGAATAGAATAGAATAGAATAGAATAGAATAGAACAGAACAGAGTTGGAAGGGACCTTGGAAGTCTTCTAGTGAACCCCCTGCTTAGGCAGGAAATGCTATAGCATTTCAGATAAATTGTTATCCAAGCTCTTCTTTAAAACTTCCAGTATTGGAGCATTTACAACTTCTGGAGGCAAGTCATTCTACTGATTAATTGTTCTAACTCTCAGGAA